TAATAATAATAATAATAATAATAATAATAATAATAATAATAATAATAATAACAATAATAATGGTCCTGTTTCGATGCTGAATTCATAAATCACTTTAGCAAATCCTCAAAACATCAATATCGACATCATGTAAAATTGCAACTCTAAGAAACATGTTTGAGTCCTTTTTTTGGTTCTAATTTGGATCAATGATGAAGACAATTCTCTTCAAATGTGACGATCCATCTCCTTTAGAAGTAACGTCTTTAAGATAGATGTTCATTTTTATTGCTGCATAAGTCGTTTTCTTCATCTCGAACGCTATTTATTAAACCTTCTCTTTGCTCAACGTCCAGTGTCCTGAAAAATTTTAATATACACAAAACTGTTAACACTGAGTCCATTATTGAGCCTGCGCAGCAAGCGTTTGCCATCGAGTTATTGCGTGAAGGTGGTAGCGAGAGAAAAAATGGAAGTAGGGAGTGGGGGAGGGGAGACTTTCCTATTCTCCCCTCACCTTCCCCCTTCATTTCCCATTTTTCGCTCTCGTTCCAACTCTGTCTAGGACGGAACGCTTGCGACGAAGGCTATGAGTCCATTGAAGACACTATAATAATAGCAGGTCTCAGGAGTTTCATATAAATGGTCACACGACACGATTCTTTCAAAAAAGGTAAAAGCTACAACATAAAGGTTTTTGCATTACTGACTATTTCAGTGAAAAAAGAAGCGTTCGGAAAGAAAGTACTGTAGAGTAGACCAGTGCTCAACAAGACTAACGTAAAATGATTTTAATTTTCTGGTATTTTGGGGAAGAAAAGAGGAAACGTTGATAAAAAATACCAGTGAGAGCTTCACTACTAACTCATCTTACTTACCCTCTAGTCATCCGTCTTCTAATATTCAAAAGTTTCTTTAAGCCGATCAAGATGGGGTCCCAGTCTCCATAATGTGTAAGTAAACTCACGGCAAAAAATGACGCAAAGGCGGGTATGGTGCCAAGTAAGAACATCCACGAAAAATGAACCTACAAAATAAGAAAGTCCGAGGAAAACTTAGCAATTATTGAATGAAGAGGTGACGTTTCAGAAAAGGCAAATTCATTGTAACAGTCACGTTTTCGCCGCTGCAGCGTCTTCGTACCCTTCTCATGAACACATCGACACACATGGTCAGCGGTATAATCAGACTCAGAGACAGCGTCGCTGTTAATGATGACGTCAAATAGCAACCCCTGGGAAACAATTCAGGCAAACACTGTTATTGATAAGTTGGAAAATGTCCAAGTTTTGTGCAATTAACTACACAATTAAACGTATAGAAGATCATCACAGTTAGAAACGCAACTAACGAAAGTCTGAAATGCGTAAGACCCGCACTCAGAAACTGTGGGACCCAATACTGGTGAAAGCGAAGATCGAGTGCTACAAGCAATTTTGCAGTTGAGTTGACTATTCAACGCTAAGCTGTGTGGTTGGCTAAAAAAAATCACGAGTTACTTTTTCAACCAATCACATTCGCGAGTTTTCCCGCGCTTTTTGACGTTCGCTACACGTCCTTGCTTCGGACTATGATTGGCTAAGAATAAGATGGGTGCTGAGATTGGCCCAAGTATATGCTTTGATTTTTACTTCAGTGTCACAGCAGTCAAAAAGTAATTGCTGCAGTCACGTGAATCCACTGTAAACACCAATGTTTAAAGTAATATTTACCAAAGCCATAGGAATTCTGACAGCACAGTTCCAATGAAAGCATTTAGAGCTATGTAGCCCCACACTGTTGCACTTGGGGGGAGTTCAAATACTTCTAACCGGAAATAATTAAAGAATAGAAATCCTGGCCAAAGAAGGAAAAAATTAAATGCTCCAACAAGGCCTGCAATGATTAAAATAAGAGAATATTGTTAGAGAGCCGTTGGGAAATAGGTGCACCGGATATCAGCGGAATCAGAAGAAACGTTAAAAGTGTTTTGTATGTCAAGGCCAGCTAACAAAAAATGGTTTGAAATGTTAATGACGAACATACACAAAATTTGTCTACAGTTCCTGGCCTTTACTTTTTTATTCTCAGTTTTCAACCACTTGACAAGGTGGCCATGTTCATAAACAAACAATACAAAATACTTTTCAAAGAATTTGCCTGAAGGAAAAGAGTATATATCGCAGCGGAGAAAACCTCTTTACTTCTCATCAACCAACATGGACCAGTATGATATCAGCTACAGACTGGTCAGCAGTAAGACCAATTACAATTATTGTTGGTTACCTGTTGATCAAGTTCAACTCTTCAGTCACACTTACATAAAGCCAACTGGTTTGCTTCTTGCCAGTTGGAATTCTTATCCTTGTGGGCCACAATGAAAACTACTGTTTTATCGGGAATAGGCCACTTGCTCTAAGAGGTCACGTGACCAATGCTTCCTTTAAACAATGAGTTGGAATATTGCTGATGCCAAAAATTGGCAGAGCACATAAAAATTAGCTGACACCCGAAATTTGAGAGGATACGCATTTAAGGGATATATTTTATGGCACTTTGATTTTTCAACAAAGCAGTATGATTTGTATTGGCCGCCATGTTGGAGGGCATACTCTTGCCCTCCAATGTGGTGGCCAAAACTACTTTTTGCTTATATCTTGTTAAACGTTTGATAGTTACGCTCAGATGTGCTGTGAACGTTACCACATCATTTTTTCAACATCCTCCTTGAAGTTTAAGTGCAAAGCTTGTGTTCAGAAAGAAGTAATCATAATTTCAAAAATCACATTTTGGTCATGTGACCAGGGAGGAACTTACTCATTTTAAGAAAATGGTGCGGGTTTGAAAAACCAAATCACTATTATTCTGTTGAAGATATGACCCACTAATCGTTTTTTGAAGGCAAAATCATATAGCTTTCATTTTCATGAAAACTATGTGACATGACCTCTTAGTGCAAATGATCTATTATTGTGCTACCCCTATAAGTCAAACCTGACATCACTTTAGTAGTACTGTACCAAATTAATGAAGAAAGATCACGGCTCAAGTTTGCTCCATGAAGAGGCAAACCAACCTGTTCACCTTTTCATCAAAATAAGTAAGTATTATTTTTGCTTACCAAAAAACATTGGAATATCCATTTGTTTCTCATCAGGGACTTTGTGTTTCAGCATAATTAAATAACAGGAATACCTAGTAAACAACAGTACACAATTATTGCTAAGAAAGTAGCGGTGTCATAAAAAGAGAGAAGAGTAGCTATTTAACAAACTCACAAAAATGCACTGGCCAGAGCCCATAACGCTCCCACACTTATCCCACCAGCTTTGTTCTTGGAGTCAGAAAGTGTCACCAACACTATCCCAGTGATGCTGTCATGTTGAAAAGAAAATATACATTTACAGTAAAATTAATATCGATTTAAAGTAAAATTCTATGGTAGACACCTCTCTCATATAACATCATCATAATAATAATAATCATCATCATCATCATCCTCATCATGTTTGAGGCAGGGTTTCATGGAAGAAGAAGAAGAAGAACATCATCATCATCATTAATATTATCATCATCATGTGGAAGCAGTGTTGCCAAGTGGTTAGAGCCGTGGACTTGTAATCTGGAAGCCTTGAGTTCAAGTCTCGCTCTGACCGCTAGCTGGATTTGTTCAAGGCAGTCCCAAGTTCAAATCTTTGGCCACACTTCCGTCTACTTTGAATTGTTAATAGCCGACTTGTTTAGCCTCCTGCCAGTTGGGATTCTTAAACACATTATGTCCTATTTGAACTATTGTTTCATTATCCCTGAAAAGCCCCATAGGGGAGTGGATAATTTAGTATTTATTATATATTTTTTATTATTATTTGTCATCTTCTTAATCAACAGTGACAAATTGTGTTGTAGAGCCTTCAAAAGTTCTATTGCTTACAGTCCCCTACTCTTCTGTAAGATAAGATCATTGAGATCAAATACTTATTATAACTGGTAGCCAATGTTACACTTGAAGAAATCACTAAGATTTCAAGTTGCCGGGTAAATACAATAAGCAAGCAGGGAATCAAACAGCCAGGGATTTCTTTTGGTTCTATTTTTCTTTTATTTTCCTACGAAAGTAGAGGGGGGCCATGTTTATAGTAGGCTGGGGAAAACCCTGGCCCCCATCTCTTAATGACAGCCATGGTTACAGATACAAATGTACCATCTGTAAATATCTGTGGAAGAGTGTTCAATCAACCTAGCTACATATTAGCCTGAGTAGCAGACCCTCCTACACCTGATACTAAGACTACCTAGCTATAGACTTTGAAACCCTCCACTCACTTCACAGTAATCTAAAAAAGGCCCCTTTTTACTCATTTATTAACTAACTCACCTCATAAGAACAGCAAGTAGTTTCGTGATTGAGAATTTATCAGCAGATGAACTCTGAAACACAGATGCTAGTATGAGTGTAAATAACCCTGAAAAAAAGAGCAAATTAAAAAATACTATTACTTTAATATATCAAAAAGTTGTCTTTAAAAATGAAGCATTAAATGCATTGATCTGACTGAGAGTTAACAACTTCTCTCTCACATGACAAGAAAACAAAGTCAACTTTTCAAAGAAAAAAAAACCAGACGTCATCTATTAGTAAATATATAATTTTGTAAAATGGCAAAGAGAAACCTGAAAATCACTGCTAAATGGTCATATCACAGAATTTTGTCCACAATGATGCCCAAATTGCATATAAAAGGTGATAAAATATGTGAAGATGTTAGGGAGCTCTCTTGTTAAGTGAGCACCGCCAGCTAAGATGTGAAATGAGATAGTACACATTATGCACTAGTGAGCCTAAGCTAATGCAAAAAGAGAACAAAAAACCCTACTTGAGAGGCTAATTTTAGGCTAAGGAATACCTGTAGCAAGAAATCTTACCTGATGAGGATGACAAAATATTTACTGCTGCTGGTGACGTGTGTGCAATGGCTTCCTGATAACTGCAGTTAGCACAAAACCACTGTGGAAGAGAAGCAAGTCAGTAGAGAAAATAATCCCTAATCTAATGATCATTGTCTCCAATGGTGAATGCAAGAAACTCCAAAGGAAGTAAATGTTTAAAAAATATTGCAAGGGCAAGGGGTGTGCAAGATGTTAAACATAGTCACCACATATTTCTTTCCTATGTACAAAGTGAGTGCAGGCACAAAACTTTTTGCCAATTACCGACCATATTTTGCACTTGGACCCCCCCTTTACCATGCCCCTTTGAGCCTAGACTAAAATATATCAAAAATCTGATAGCAAAATGTAGCGTAGTAGTAGGTTTGTCAATCCTGATGTAGCTACATGAACTGAAGAAACTCCCTGAGACACAACCTCTAGTTTTTACCCCTAAATGTGTTTGCAAATAGTGATGATAATATTGTGAGAAATATTCATTTTGTAATAACTAGGTGATTTCTTCTGCGCTGATTGGTGAAGAGCTTTGTTTGATAAACTTACAGACCATGGAAATGATGTGATGGTGGCAAAATTTGTTCTTCTCTGTCTTGTATGTGTAACTTTTCAAGAAATTTCAAAGGAAATGGATGTCAAAACTGTCAATATCATTGTAAAAAACAAATCGACATTAACTTTTCATAGTCTCTACAGTTATCGACCATGGAAATGACGTCAAAATATTCAAAACTTTGTAGTGAAACCACTCGCCTGCAGCTTTTTGTTGATTTGTTAACTTCCCCAGGAGAGAGGGTTTGGTCACATCACACAGACACCCTACCCCACCCCCACGACTACTTCAAAAAAAGCCTTACAACTCACCAGTAAGCAGAATAGCAAGGCAACCTTAGCAACACGATGGACAGGAAGTTTCTGATCTTCATCCAAGTGGTAAGGAAGTCTGGTCAACCTTGCCTGTTCAGAATTATGGTCTGAAAAATGCAAATTTGCTCCATTCAAAACATGGAAATTTTTCATGATTGAGCTGTACATACTGTCCAAAAAAAGCTCCCTAATAAACCAAATTACATGTATTTACCTGATAATTGCCGCACTTCTCTCACACTGCTAAATGTCACCCGTCTAGGTCCTGTCATATAGTTAAGATAATGAGTGTATTAAAGCAAGTGACCAATATTCAAAATATTTTTCACTTGATTATATCACTTGTAAAATTAGCTAATTCTGTTATCTGATTTTGCAAAATATTTGCAGTTGATAGTATGCCATGCATGTGATTAAAAGTTAAATTAATTTACTTAAGATTTTAACAATGACAATGTTGGATGTGAGTCACAGGAACCCAGACTATTAGTAAGCACTTAGTCTAGGTAAATCTCTCTCCAAGGCATGTGTTTTTAACTTACTTGGAATTATTTCAAAGGAACTACTAGCTACTTCAGCTGATCGGCAGGTTGAAATGTCTTCATCTGTCATTTCTTCAAAAGTTGGCTCATTCTAACAATTAACAAAAGACAGTAATGAAAACTACAGGCCGCAGGCAAACAGAGTTTAACCATTGTTACTAAGATGAAACTGATAGTTTTCATCAATTTGTTTTAGCTCGATATTTCAACACTGTTTACTGGGAGAGTATCTAGGGATGTTTCCTAAACAGGCGACAAGTAGTAGGTACCATAGGGGGGAGAGAGTCATTTATTTTGCTATTTAATCTTTTATTTTATTAATATATGGTTGTTATAATTAAGAGTCTTTGCACAACATTTTATGAACTGACGGTCACCATACAAGTGAAACCTCCCTATTTCAGCATAATGAAATTGGTTGAATTTTAACTGTGGCTTCCTTTGGAAGTTTAAAAAGATGCAACTCACCATTAGTGGTCTTGGGATTGGGGTAGTTTCCCCTGAGGATGTAGGTGAGTTTAAAAGAGATGTGTGTTCACTGTCTTGATTTACAGCAGATACCAAGACCTGAAAAAAAAATGTCCAGACAAAATGCTACAGCAGTTCATCCATTTTTTAAACCCCTGGGAAAGGAAAATTGTTTCATATTTGGGGGAGCTTTAAAAATTTTAGGTTAAGATCACAGATTTTGACTGAGAAAAAGAAGTTACTAAATTAGATTTTATAATAGAGAGTTTAACAAAACAAGAGGTACCGGTAATTCAAGATAAGGAATCAGCTGCATTTTCTAGTGAAAGAAAAATGAAGAGATGACACAAGAAAGCCCTAAGTGACCTTAAAATAACTGAGAGATTCTCCATGTTGCATGTGAACTTTTAATGTGGTGACCTCCGTAAATATAAAAAAAATATATTTTGAAAGTTTAATTTGTCAATGTGCACATCATTCAAAATAAACCTTATTTGCTCTCCCCACCTCCCCCCCAAAAATTGCATACCCTTTGTTTCAATTTCCACCTGGGTATTACAGTCATCTCACAAGAAACTGGAAAAATTATTACAAAAATTTCAAAAATTGGGGGATAAATAAGTTGTTTTATGGGAGCTGTGCAAATGGCAAATAATAATCTAAGGATCTGCATAGAGATCATAATGTTCTTTCTTGTCACTTACATTTGAGGATGTTTCATTCTTTAAGCATGTAATGCATTGAAGCCTCCATGAAGCCTCCATGGCTCATAAAAAAGAAATCCAGTCAAATATATCATAAATGATGATGTCTTGAAGAATGTGGTGAAAAAAGGCTTGTCAAATCCTTCATATTTGAAAATAAACTGCAAAGAAAAAGGTTTTGGGCAAACTAGATGTAAGTATATCGGAAAACTAAATTCCTAATTCTGCGTAAACCATAAAAACTACAAATACTTGCTAAAAAGCAGTGAGAATGTTGATTAAGACATAAACAAGATTGTAATCATCATGGACTTACTGGAGATCTGGACAACATGGATTTTTGACAGATATGAGGGAGTAAAAGAATCTTTAACTTACACATTCCACTTCTTATTTACACAACCCTGCGATGCCAGCGATGGTAACTATTTTCTGTCTAGTGGACAGCAAACTTTTGTTTTCGTAAAAGCTGTCAATAATTTGTTCAGAGCAGTGCCAGATCCAGACCTTGAGATAATGGGGACCCAGTCATCCACACTCTTAGATAAGAAGGGGGGGTGGGGCTGGTCTGCAAAAAAATTTTTTTCAGGACTTTAGGCCTCAGTTTGGTCTGAAAATGCCACAGCAGAGGGGTCAGATCTGCTTTTGGAAAGGTAGAGAGGTTGTGTGGTTGGTAGCCTGCATTGGAAACAAACTCTAACCCCAACCGACTCAATAAATAGTGGGAAATGGATTATTTATCAGTTATTTACACATTCCCACCAGCTTCTTGCCATGGACACTTCTATTTATTACGCAGACCATTAGAAACTTCCCCAACCCTGCCATAACTTTTCTAATTAATGGTCCGCCCCTGATAAAAGCAACCACATCAGCTGGTTTACATGTGACAACATCATGGTAAACATCTTGGTGGTCAATAACAAAAGCATTTCTCTCTACTGGAAACTTTTAACCCTGTTCTCATACAAATTCTCTGTAAAGAAAATATGTGTTTTGTATTGTCCATCAACATAGTAGTATACCTGCCAACTCTCACGCTTTAGGCGTGAGTCTCACGCCTGCGGGTGGAAAACTTCGATCTCACGCCGGCTCACGCTTGCGGGCCAATTTCTCACGCCTGATTGAAAAATGTGAGTTGTTGCCATCTTGCTTGACTCAATTTGCAAAAATATGTTAACTCAGACCCATGTAAGGAACGAAAACCAAGTGTATATATTTCAGAAAAAGTTGGCAGGTATATAGTAGTCTTGCCAGGTGACATGGTTGCAAACCAAGAATATCAGATGATAGTTACATTCATTAATTTTTATTGTAATGTTCTGATAAAATGGTTTGCTTTTCAATATTTGGTGGTAATTTTCGTACGCTATTTAGTAATAAATTAGTAATTATTAGTAAAAACTTTGTTCTCACATCTGTCAGTTCTGACGAGCCAACCCAAAGAACGTCCACCAGCAGTAAAACAACAATCCCCAACAACAAGCGTCGTCTCCGCATAACACTCTCATCCTGTGACACAATAAACTGCACTGTTGAAGTCCACATCGAACGGAAGTAGTTACAAAGATGACTACTACTTGTAGAAGACATCTTCTTTAGTTTTTATAAAACTAAAGCAAGCTTACACTGGCTTTGGCTGTGATTTAACCCACAGACGAAGATGTTTCATCTGATGGTACCATGACACTGTATAAAGAGAAAATTGATTTGAGTACAAAGACACCATATTATAATGACCGCGATTATAGGAAAAACGCTTTACTGAAGAATCGAAATCTAAAAATAAAAATACAACTGACCTTCTCGTGACATGGCCGCCATCTTGGATTACCGTTGTTTGAACGCGGGCTCATTTCACAGGCTTCTCAAGCTTTATCATCGATATTTTTTCCCTCTCTGTTTTTATTCAATGCACAAGGACCCCACAAGAACAGCGAGTAAAAACGCCCAGTGGAAAAGAAATACTCAGGGGCAAGTTTCAACAGCTAGCACGACAACGCAACACCCAAAAAATGTATTGCTTCCAGGCTCCTTACATTATGCAATCAAATGATCAAAAAAATAATGCGCAACGTTTCACGTTTGCTTTATTGATTTTATACAGTACAACCGATACTACTCAATAGCTGAGCATTTTAACTCTCTTTTTAACTTTACGAAAGCTTTTTTATTCGCATAAAATAGGGATGGCGAAAGAAAACAAAGTTTAGTCTTTAAAGGAATTTATTATTCTATGAATCCATCAAACCTACCCTGCGAGCAGAGTCTCCTTCGATCTTCCCAGGAGACTCTACTCGCAGGGTACATCAAACCCTTTGGCAATAGAGAATATCTCCACGGCAAGCACCACTACCTCGAAGCGAAAGCGCACTTTCACCTCCTTTATTGCAACATAAACTGACAGGTGCCGATGTTTTTAAAATGACGTAAAATTTCAAGGAAACTTTTCGCCACCCCCTTAATAATATTTACACCTATACACTATATGACTACATTGCGGACTATAAGTTTTCACTGAGAAAATAACTGGAAACTTCTCCCACTGTCTCTGATACCCTACACTATCTATCCAAGCCTTTGGCCTAGTTTTGCTCTCCCGCAAAAACAACGATAAGCGATTTTCTAGCGTTACATCTAAAAGAAACCCAGTAGACTATACAGTAAGTCCAGTCGGCTAAGACTAAAACAATGATTTTCCTCTCACATGGTAAAGAACAGGCAAACATTATCGAAGCTCTTATAGCGACAATGCTGCAAAATTATAATTATTGAACGTATTTGCATGTGCAGCATTTAACTGTACGAATATTTCAGTACGTCGCGGAAACTGGTAACAATATTTGGGGCCAAGTAACACCCCCTCCCCCTATGTAGGAAACTCACAACTACAGTAAAAGTAAACTTGTGTACTGGAGAATATGAACTTTTTTCTCAAATTTTCAATAAAAACGCTTGTATTAAGCAGACATCTCTTTCGAGCGGATATCCGATCCGAAGCTATTGAGGTCGGTATTCTCTTTATAGGCCTTTTAAACCATCATATAAAAAATATGTAAGTCCTCATTTGTTGTCCGTTGTACATTTCCCAAATGGATCAAGTGGGATCGAGAACGTTTAGGAATTCCAACTTGTTTGGTGATGTTTTTATCGATTTCCCTCTGTTTTTTGAAGCACTTACATTGAAAGGAGAAATTTGATGCTGATTACTCTTAGCAGGAGCCTATAACTGACTCCTATCGGCTTAAGGTTAATATAGGTTTCACTGAGGTTTATATCATTATTCAAAATGAAAAGTATTGAGTAAAATGGTAAAAAAATCCTCAAAACAAATTATAAACCTATCTAAGACCTAATGCAAAGTTGACGGCTACATATTTTAATTTACTAACATTTCTGCCAGTAGAAACATTACTGCAAGAAGTAATGATTATCATTGAAGCTCTTTTGCAGTTTTTCTACTTGGATGTACTTTGAATCATAAAGTGTGAAAATCATTTTATGAAGCTTTTACAGCCTAGAAGTTGTACGTTCTTATATGAAAAATGTTTAGGAATTTTTGTGAATCTCGATATTGATCATCACTGCATCATCTTTGGAGTACTGTGGGCAACGAACCGTGTCGATGGGCGCAAACTTCTCGTAGCCATACAGAGTGGTGTATTGGCCGCTGGCAGCAGGTTTCTGAAAAGCTTCAAGATTTCTGTTGGCCATAAAAGTGCCACTGACATCGTTGCAGAAGCTGTGAGCATCATTGCTTTGATCCAACATGGAGAGGGAGATTCGTCCACAAAATGGCCATTTTAGCCTATTATCAAAATTCCCCTTCATCATACCAACAAACAGGCCAATATGACTTCCATCTCCACCATCAACGCCTTTTGGGTAGACACGCATGAAGAACTTGTATCCACGCAAACTAGTGTAAATCGGAGGACTATCAAATGATGTTTTTATTCCATCACTATCACCGTGGAGGAGCTGAGAGAAATGCTCTATAATCCAAGTATAATCTCCACCACAGATCTGACCTTTAGTCAACAAAGGCTCTGGTGGACTTGACCTGTAGAGAAAATTCGGTTCTAGGATGATTATTTCATTTTTCGTAAAGGTCTGGTTGGTTTTGTGAGGGCGGTTTTTGAGTTGTGGCATAGAGAAAAGACAAATTGGAAACAGTCGCTAACAAACTTGGATGCTATACTAGCTAAAAAAGTAAACTTTGACGCTTGTACGATGTTTATGGAAGTCATTATGACCTGTAACTGCTGTAATTTCCGGATGTTTACTTAGAATTTCATGGCTTTGTTTAAAAGACCCTTTCAGCGTATTGATAGGTGACTAGGTAGCAAAGATCATAGAAATTAAACTGTCTATTAAACTACGTCATGATTTTGCTATTCCTGCAGAGATGTAAAACCAACCACTGCGATTTCAATCAAGTCAAGGTGTAACATGACGCACTGCTTACCCGTGGCCAGAGGATCGGGAAACATTTAAAATAGCCCTCGAATTAGCTGGATGGGATATGCGTTTGGCTTAATTTGAGGACGTATACTGACCTGTTCGAAGTCAGCTGTCGTGGAGAACTGGATGCACGCATCCGTTCACCTCCTTGATTCTGCGCTGGAAATTGGCTGGTCTCCTCGACAGATCTAGAGCACCTGATTCCAGCGAACGACTCAGTTGCATCAGTCCATCCTCGCCCGCAGTGCATCTGAGTTGCTGGTGGTCTAGCTCCAGCCCATTCTCTGAATTGCATTCCTCTAGTTTGCTCCGCGTACTGCATCGGCTGTCTACCTCTTCGAGAATGCAACTGGTATAAGGGAACCTCCTGCATTGGACGAAAATTCATATTCTCAACAAGTATCTCTTTCAGGCGGTCAGGGTATCTTGGTGGCACAACTGGCAGTGGTGAGATCCCTTGGTGATCCATCAGCCCATTGTAAATCCCTGCAGCGTTAAGTTGACCAATAAAAAGCTGTTGAAATCCATGTTCTGTCTGTTCTACATCCTGAATGGGAAGATACACTCCTTCAATGGGTTGTTGACCACCGATCGCCTGCACAAAAGAGGAAATCATATTTTTAAGCCAGCGTAGGAGATATTATCACTTTCTTGTTAAAAGTTGTCTCTTAATAAATGTGTCAAAAAACAGTTCTTGTGAGTCCCAGCATCCAACTATCTGAACTATCACCGAAGCGGGTCCTTGCAGTCTAACTGTGCTGATGCCAAAACTTGAGTATGTACAAAACAAATAAATTCAAAGCTGCAATTTTTTTAAGTCACAACTTGCGATAGGATTTATAGGATTGTGATCGATTTCGGCAACATGCTTTATGGAGACAAAACAGCCGTTTCTCCCCAGCGGCGAGGAGCAAATGAAAACATGAACCGCAGAACACTTCTCTAGTGCTAATGATAAAAAGTGATTTTATCTTTTCTAATATCGGGAGGTTTTGATATTGGGATACTGACAGGCACCTCTTGAGCTTGTGAATATCATTCTACTTACCCCTTGCTCTATTGGTTCTCTTGCTGAACCAACTGCATGTCCTGCAACTTCATTGTTTTCCCTACAAGAAAACATTGCAGAATATAACATTATCCTGGCCGCCAGACTCATCATTAAAAACTTAGACTGCTTCCATGAATTTTAATAACGGGGCCTGGTTGCTATTTTCAGGTAACCACGTTTGTTTCTACAAAGCAAAAACTTAAATATTTTTGGGACAGCATAAAAGCTTTTTTTTCTTGGGCGGAGGGTATATTATTTCAACCTTAAAACTATTCACTGTATAGACTGCTGTCCCTTCCCGCTTTTCACTTACGGCAGTTTAAGACACCAGTCATTCATTCTCATGACAGTCCAGCTCTCCTGAGTTCGATTGGGGCGAACGGTGTGGTCTCTGAAGGTTTTATCCGACCCTCTGCAGACGAGCGTTTATGTCTGTTCATTATCAGTCGGTGCATCTGTTCCTCATTAGTTGATGAAACTTCAACGGAAAGTGGGGAGGGGGGGGGGGGGGGGGGA